TATTTTGGGGGCAGCACGTTGGTTTCCCAACTGGCCAAATTCTCCCCCCTCACCCCCCAAAATTCAGGGGTGGGTTGATGAAGTGATGGTGTTGGGGTTCGGGGGGAGGGCAGGGGATGGAGCAGGGATGGTGGCAGCTGGCAGGTCACTTCTGGAGGGTGTTTTGGGGGTTATAATGACCCCCCCTATTCAAATCAGCCACATTAATCTGTTTTTTTCACTATCCAGTGCTCCCCTCCTGGGTCTCTGGGAGTTTTCTTGACCTCTTGGACTCTTTATCTTCTCATGTTGGGGTTTCCTTGTTTTCCTTCTTCTGGGAGGGGAACGACAAGAACCAGGGGTTATTTTCTGCCTCTTTGCCTGATAACCCCAAATTCATCTCCACATCTCTTGAGGTGCTTGGAGAAATGACCTGAAACCTCCTCCAGCATCTCGGGATGGAGGTCCCGTGGTCCATGGGTGGAGGCAAAGCCCTGCAGGACCTCAGCAGTTTGAGATGGCCCCAAAATCTTGCTAGACAAGAGGGAAGGGCCTGGGTGGGACTTGGGAAGAGGAGAACACGGAGCTTGGACCTCGTGGAGCCCCCAACCCCCCCTCTCCAGCAGCACCCCTGGCTGGAAGGCACCAGTGGGGCCACCACGAGCCCCCTCATGGGCCGTGGGGTCCTGCTCTGACCCAGGCTGGGCTAAACCCCAGCACCGAGCCCACGGACGTTTCCTTCAGGGAGCAAAACTCCTCCTGGTTTGGGGGGGTTTGGGGGGTTTTTTGGGGGGTTGAAATCCCACCTGTGGTCACGACAGTTTCCAAACCATCAGCACGTGGTGGCCTGACCCTGGAGGAGGAAACTTTTGGGTGTTTGATATGAAAATTAGGATAGATATTTATATGTACACATACACACACAGAACATTTGGGTTTTTTTGGTTTTTTTTTCTCCTTTTTTAAGACCTAACCAGCAGAAAAATGTGAAACCATTTCCCTGCAGGTTCAGAAAACTTTGTGGGGCTGAGGGTGAGGGTTGGGTTTTGTTGTTGTTTTTTTTTTCAGATGAGATCCAGGACATCTTTTTCTTTTCCTTTTTTTTTTTTTTTTTAACTTTTCCTTTTTTTTTTTTTTTTAACAAAAAAAGGCTTTACTCCCTCAAGAAAACCCAAAATTTACAAACAACCAGGCCCTCCTCAGCTCTCCAGAAGAGAGAGGGTGTGACAATATTAATCCAAACATCACGCTGTTTAATTCCCCAATAAAACATTGGAAAAAAAAAATAAAACAAACCCAAAACAAAAAAGGAGCTGACAGTATCTGCACTAACACTTTGCTACATATAAAATCTCCAGCTAATATGAAGCTCATGGTACCAACCTCTAAAACAGTTAAGATATATACACATATTTTTTTGTTTGTTTTCAGGGGGAGGGGGTATATTAACAAACAGAATATTACAAAATATTAAAGAAGGCAACTCTTCTGTCCTTTGTTTCGGGGTGGGGTGAGGGGTGGGTGGTTGTTTTTCTCCTTCTCCTCCTTCTTCTCCTTCACTTGAAGTTGGCGTAGTCCGAGAAGGCGTCGATGTATTCCTGCACCACCTTGTAGCAGAATTCGTACTGTTCCTGGGGGACCCGGGCAGGGGGGGGAGGGTTACACCATGGAAACCCCCCCCCTGGCACCTCTCCTGCTCCCCTGGGCCAAGCTGGCACCAAGCACGGGCACCGTGCCCTCAGCCCCACCCGTCAGCAGGTCCCACCTCCTTCCTGTGCCCCCAAACCCACCCTCCTTGCTGGGGTGCCAGCAGCAGCAGGACTCAGCTTCCCCTTCCAGGTCCTGTTTTGGCCCCCAAAAGGTTTTATTTTATGCAATCCCAAAGCATCCCTGTGACCTCCTCTTGGAAGAGCTCCTCTTGCCTGCTCCTCCTCCCTTGCACGCCCAGGGCTCTGCCACAGGACTCTTGGAGCCCATAGATACGTGGGCTCTGGCTGAGGGTGCCTTCAGGGAGGCTCCTACAGCTTGTGTCAGTGCTCAAAAAGGGGCTTGGTGCCTCCAGCCAGCCAAGCTCCTCTCCTCTAGATGTCCAAGAGGAAGGGGAGACACCTCCTCACCCACCTCCATCCCTTCCTCTTCCCTGGAGGGAGAGAAAACCTTCACCTGAGGAGGTTTCTGCTCAACACTGAGTCCCCAGCGTGGGGTCTGGGATGCCAGGAGGAGGGTGGGGAGTCCTCAGCTGCCCTTACCAGTGTCTGCACCATGTGTGGCCTCTGTAGTCTTAAACTCTTCACTGTCTGAAAGACGTCAAGGATCCCTTCTGCCTTCACCCTCTCCAGGACGGTGCTGAGCGCGCAGAAGGTGCCCGTTCTCCCTGCTCCAGCACTGCCAGAGGGACAGCAGAGGGTGAAGGAAACCCTCCAGGACGCTGGCTTGGCTCAGGGGACAATCCCCAGGGGAACCACTGAGGGGAACTGGGGGAGCCAACGGCGCTGCCCCAGCCTCTCCCAGCTCAGCCGAGCAGCAGAACCTCCCACCACGTCTGCCCAGGCTGCTCCGAGGCTTCAGAAGGATCTCAGAGCCCCTCCCAGGCTCCTGGCAGAGCAGGTCACCTCACCCTCTGCCCCCGGGCCTCACCTGCAGTGCACGGTGATGGGGTGGTTGCCAGACTGCTGCTGCTGCTTCTGCACGGCGGCGATGATGTTGATCATGCCCTTGCCGTCCGCGGGGATCCCCACCTCCGGG